TTATCCTTTTGAACTCTTTAATCTCTGGACGCTTTCGAATTGTCATGGCACTCTGTGCTGAATACACCCTACATCACCCTTCCTCCATAAATGACTTCTCCGAAAATTTTGGTTCCACTAACCTACCTTTAGGGGCTACACCTAGGGTTTCTCTCTGAGTGCACTTGTTTATGATCGATCCCTCATGTGCATAAAGTGTGAATATATTATTGTAAGACGCATTTTATCGCTATATGAGGGAATTGACTTCAAGCTTTATTTATTTTCCCAAGTATCTGTAATCCATCCAACGCATACTTGGGTTTTTTCTTGTTAATGCGAAGTCAATATCTCTATATTTCTTGGTGTGTTCCATTGAATCACCAGTTATCCGATTTTCCTCACAAACTAAAGATAAGATGACAGCAACCATGTTATTTGACCGTAAATAATGTAATTTAAATATGTAACTTAAGTGATACTTATCCATGCCTATACAACTTGTGTGTCCTATATTTGAATGAATAAGTATGTACCTTATTATATTATCATTACTAACTATACTTACTAATCGTATGTGTAATTTATCGAATTGATGATGCTTGTAAACTGGCGTCCCTCATGTAAAGAAAAATGAGAATATACTATTATTATTATGACATTATACTCTACTATTAGCCCGCCAGTGTATCCTCTGCATTTCCATGTTATGGAGATGCCCAACGTATGTAATGCATTGACAAGGAGAAGGTTATGTTTGTTCACCTGGGATTTTACGGACCACGATAACACCGGCGTTCTCCAATCTATCTCATTGTCCATCTTTCCTATTTAAGTTCCTATATCAGACTGTTATCGGTTGCTTCATACTGTGATAGAAAATCTCCATAGCTGCCAAAGGGATGGCCAGATAAATGTATGGATTATTCTCGGGTAGGTGCTTTTATGTGGAATACAGTGTATTAAACATTTTCACATCGTACAACTAAAAGTCTCCCAAAGGAGAGCAGTGCATCCAGGACATATTGACTTAGGCTTCACTACCCCGAGCTAATGTCTTTAAGTTGTGACTAACATTAACTCACTGACACTTTTGTTAGGATTGAATCTGAGCCCCAGTGTATGTTCCGCAGCTGATAAATCATATTTCATGGTACTGGGCCCAGAGTGCACGGACAATTTCAATCGGGTCCTCCGTACGTTATAGAAAAGAGTCGACATTTTAAGTTGCTCTCATTGTTGCAAGCACGAATAAAGATTATTACTACGACTGTAGTGAGGGGACACCTTAAAAGCAGCAACTTCTATCCCTGTCGAGCAGACAGATGCATTCCTAAAGTGTGTTTCAAGGAACACTAGAAATCCTAAGGTTACCATAAAGGGGCTCCAGCACGATCACATGCCACTTAGATCGCTAGGGTCTCAACGCAAACCAATATATCATCCCATTCTGGAGAAACTTAGGTGGGATCATGGTGTACGAAAGACGCAGGGAAGGGGTGGATGGAGACATAGTAACACTGTAAGTTGGCGGTCAGATTAAATCAGAATTACCAATTAACTCAGCCTGTCATTGATATATATCAATAATGCTAGCCCCCTAGAATTTGGGGGTACATCTACTCCTACCAAAAAGAGAAGTAGCAACCACATGAAGTTATCCACTTTTCTACAGTAAGGGGATTCAGTCGGATGATTATTGTTGATAACTTCTGCACCCCATCTCTCATCCTTGCCGAAAGCACATGCATAAATTGGTTTAAAATGGGAGACTGCTGGACATCGTCAGCACTGCTTGTCTCTACATAGAATTAGGGATGACTCACACTCCGGTCCGCATTAGAGGATCAATTTAAGTATATTACTCACATGTCGGATGAACAGAAGACGTCCGAATCCAGTAATAATAGGCAGATGTGGTTATAATAATAATAGTATATTCTCATTTTTCTTTACATGAGGGACGCCAGTTTACAAGCATCATCAATTCGATAAATTACACATACGATTAGTAAGTATAGTTAGTAATGATAATATAATAAGGTACATACTTATTCATTCAAATATAGGACACACAAGTTGTATAGGCATGGATAAGTATCACTTAAGTTACATATTTAAATTACATTATTTACGGTCAAATAACATGGTTGCTGTCATCTTATCTTTAGTTTGTGAGGAAAATCGGATAACTGGTGATTCAATGGAACACACCAAGAAATATAGAGATATTGACTTCGCATTAACAAGAAAAAACCCAAGTATGCGTTGGATGGATTACAGATACTTGGGAAAATAAATAAAGCTTGAAGTCAATTCCCTCATATAGCGATAAAATGCGTCTTACAATAATATATTCACACTTTATGCACTTGAGGGACTCCAGTTGACAGGCATCATCAATATCATAATAATGCACACATGAAGTAAAAATGTTTAAAATTTTTCACTAACACAAAATATATATACAAGGGAAGATAATGAAATATTGACCGTAAGCACACTCTGCATAAGTTAAAACAGTTTATATGGCATAATCCTAGGCACAATTATTGTTTGAATTTCTTGAACATGAGCGAAACAACTGATTGTTGCGTTACATTCGGTCGATATGGTGGGCTAGTCCCAAAAGTATAAAAATGGCTTGTAAAACGTTACTCAGTTTACCGTAAACAATGTTTTAAGCAATATAAACTGCAAAAGGCTCACCACAGCAGTTAGTATCCAGCTAAACATGCAGAGAAGTAATTATAATTCAGCAACTGGTGAATTTTTTATTCTTTTCGGTCTGGAACCTGAGTAACTGCGAACCAATCCATACAAAAATGTCGAAAGAGGCATGCAGTAGCAGAATTTTACGATCGAATGAGTCAGTGGGACCTGAGATGCAGCTGTCAGCATATTTTCGTTATTTCATAGATATCCAGATTTATTGACGCTGCATAGGTAGTGATTTGGATTTGTCATCATGATCGACATATGGACGAATATTGAAAATCGGAATACAACTTGTTTGCATTTCGGATTCAGTTAATTACATCGCATGTTGGGTTTGATTACTCTGCGATTTTGATATATTCCGCGGTGTCGCCGTGATTATGGGAAGTGTGCATATGCTTTAAATGCAGTACTTTGTTGGCTGAGTGCGGCAGTTGTGTTCAACCGGGACGACGGGAAACAACTCATAATATGCCAACAACCAGTAGGAGCTAGGGGAGACTGCTAGGTCTCACGGGATGTTGTCAACAGTCCGATCCTCAGAACCACGGCAATTCGCGTAAAGACAATTCACCTACCGAAAGGCAGCACAGTGCGTCTTTCCTTGATCGAAATGGAGATTCATGAGAAAGCAGTCTCATTATGAAACATATTTGGCACTTTGATATCAGTGCAATATGAAAGTTAAAGGAGATATGAAGTCATTTCCCGCATTTTTTGCAGAAAACTGCAAGATAACGATACAAGTAGTAGTCGTTTCATGACTTAGAGGAAATGCACTTTCTGGTGAGCCTGTTATTAGAGATCATATAAGTAAACGCCTTATCAGCGTACAGATAGAGAAATGCTTCACTGACTGAATGTATTTAGGGGCGATTAATGAAAAGTTGGATTACAGACGGAAGTTCGGACACCCTATAGAGTCCGACATCTTTAATATTGCTGAATACGTAAAGGGTACCCAGTACACAAGACATGTGTACCAGTTCTGAATAAAGTGTCAGCCTCCTAGATTGTTCAAAGAAGAACTGTTAGAGCTGAACTGAAAATTCTGCTGGGTGATGGTCACCTATAACGAGAACCATATACGTTCATGTGCCCAAGAATCATGGGAGAATTGATAACAACCTAAAAACTAGTTGACATCCCATGCCACCCAACCAAAGAGTATCAGTGTTCCTCGGATTAAAAGAAGGAAAGAGGCACGGAAGACAATAACACAGGTGTGGTTTTATATCCTTTCCAATCCAGTTTTTCCTTAATGGAGTCCTATTGAAACTAATGCGACAGGCACTACGTGAGTTTGTAACTTTAGGTTACGAGTAGATGACTATGCAAAAACTTACGTTCTTCGTACACTTATTGAGGCAGCCGTCTAAAGCTGAAGGACTGCACCGTGTTAAAATCACTCCAGCCCTTCACTACCATCCCTCTCTTCCTTTTTTGATTTTATTTTCATAGTTTCAGGCTTACATCTTCATCTCGCTTTCTTACATATAAATCTGTTGTCTTATATTTGGTCTGTGTAACTTTTTCACTGATCTCTGTACTTTTCACCTCTTGTCTAATTCTTTCTATATTAAGAAGGGTTTGGTGAAAATACAGCCAATAGCTGCACTTTTTAGATAAATCATACGTTTCCAATAAAATAATCTCAGATAACTTCTCTTACGATATTCATCACAGCTACAAAAGTGAAGAGAATACATTTATGCTATTTATATCCGCAAGAATCTAAGAACATTCCATAAATCTGAGCACGCAGCGTTAATGAGCCACTACGTCGGTGACGCAGAGGTTAGGGCGCTCGACGACTCGATACCCCGCAGACGCACACCTGATATCAATAGTGGCCCTGTTAAACTAAGTTATCAATATCACGTGCTGAAAATTCCATATTTTTAGTAAAAATACTGTGTATAATCAAGCTATAATTAAGTTAAATTAAAAGTAATAAAAAAAGCTTACCACAAAGATATTGTTTGTTGAGATCTCAGTAGAAGTTGTATCGAAGTCTTTGATTGATTCTTTCAAGAGTAACAATCAAGCACAGCCATTGGACAGAAAAATGTTGATATAAACAATCTATCCTTAGGCAAAAGTGCGACTCCGAATCTTGATCTTAAGTACTATGAAGCGCAGGTTTATGAAATATGCGCTACATTGTTGAGTCTCGATTTTGAGACATTTCCGCGTATCGTGCTTTAAGACACATGTGAATAAAAACACCTGGAAATATGTCAGCAATTCCATCTGCCTAATATTAGTGAAATGTGCCGGAACTTACTGAATAGATCTCTTTGATGGAGGTTTTTCAACCAATTACGCGTCCTGCAGAAGTAGATTTTAAAAATTCCTCATTATTGTGTGTAGTATATAGGGTCGTTCCTTGTCTCAGGCAAAGGACATCATGAACGTGCGGAGATTGTCCGTCAGAAGTTGGAGGCTGCTCGTGTAAGTACGCAGATTTCGACTTTGAAATTCAAATTAAGTTTTAGCTTGAGCAGACTTAAACTCAGCTGTTACTGCCTAAAAATATATATGAAGAAAGTAATAATTCTTCATTTGAACGTGATTCTTCCTGTCGTTTGTGAATTAGATAACTTTTATGTTAACATGTGAGCGAATAAACTGGCAAGTCTATGCCTAGCATCGACTGGAGTTCGGTTTCAGTCAGCCAATACAGCGCTCAGCGGGCATAGCTGTATGTTATCATTCATTTGGCTTCGCAGCAATGTAACCAGGCGGTCTTGCAACTAGTAATAGTTGGTTGAGTTAAACTAAAGCAGTGACCCCGATCAACCTCACCACTAAATATTAGCAACTAATTAAAATTAAGGGTAAATAAAAGTTACAGAACTGTTAAGAAGGTGGCTGTAGACCACAGATTTCTTAGATTAATTATTTCTTTAATAACACAAGTCACGCAGTCGATGTTCCAGAGCAGAGGGTTGCTTAATGTAGTCCCAATTGGTTGTAGGAGGTCTTGTATCGGGGTAGCTGTTGTAGTTTTATTGTCAAGGCTCATCCTCATTTTAAAAACGTTTAAAAGTTACAAACAAACCTATGCTATTATAATAATAATTTAGTAAACCCTGTCAGACAGGAAATACCTGCAAATAGATAGTTGTTCGATTCACAAAGGGTGTGGATAGAACACAGTTTGACTGCAGTCTTATTTCAGAATAAAGTTAAGCTAGGTTAATTCAGGTGGACTGAAGCTGTCTAACACTATCTTAAGCTTCGGTATTACGTTTTAGTTGGTGCTTTGGTCGATAACAGTGGTCTGTCTTATTGATTCGTTATCCGTACATTTCTTGAAATAATCATATCTTCACAATCATTTGCAGTGTTATACTTCCAGACATATGTTGGAAACTTTATATTGTTGGATAAATGAACGAAAGATTTTGATGAGAATCATGGAGCTGTAGGTAGCTAGTTCGTTTACAGCTTTCAACCAGTTATGAACCCTGTACTCTATCTACTATGACTCCATAATGTATAAGACTTTATTTTGACAAATCACACAGTGTTATACAGTAATATTAACTGGTGACGTTTCGAGCACAAACTATTTCTCATAATCATATCTTATCCATAATGGAGTTATACTCTATTACAGTGCCCAAGTTTTATACTTATATCAATCTGTCTATTATGGCCCTGGGAATTAAGTATTGTCACAACTGTTACTGTTCTAAAATGAAATCGGCATAAACCTTACGTCATATTGTGCTGTTTTATATATGTTAGTTTCCAAACTCTTGCGTTCAGCGATCTGTGTTCTTACATTTTGTTTTAGAAATATACCCATAGCAAACCAATCACGTTACTCATATCGCTAAGCGGAGTTAAAGTCTGCCATGAAAACAATGAGGTGAGTGCTTTATGATGAGTGTTTTTACGCGTCCAGTTGTGATATCCAAGTTTTCTTAGTACTTTCCGATCTAAAATTCATGGGTTGCATTATGTAGACGAAAGCAAGAGAGAATTCTTCAAGCATTAGGTGTGATCTGATCAACAACTGAATGAGAATAGAACTTACACAGATATGCACAAGTTGGATTTGTATGTGATGGTAACACACTTGTCGGTTGAAATTCTTATCCATTGAAGTTTTATTACTGTATTGAATAAGAGCCAAGTCGTAGACTGAGTTGTCAGTTTTTATAGTCTTAAGTACATATAAATTCAGACTTAATTTAATGTTCATCACTAGTCAGACAATGTTATGCATGCGATGCACTGATTAGTTTATCAGTTGTATTTGTAGTCATTGTTTTTGTGTTCATTAGTTATAACAAGCACCTTAATTGAACAATTTTAGTTTCGTGAGAGATTACCACTTAATCAATTCGTCCTATTTCTATTTTTCGATTGATCAACAATTACTTACTTCAATAAATTCTGTTGGATACTGGCGGAAACAGTAATCTAATATCAAGTAGCAAAGTTCTATGCTGAATGCCCTGCTGTGTAGCAGTTTTAAATAGATAAACATTATCTCCAGTCTTAATATCATGCATGTTGGAAATGGTCCGTCTCATTTTTTGTTTGACTGCAGTTATAGTGCAGGAGTTAAAGCTTTTTGTAGTACCGAGTTATACCAATGAAGCATAAGCCGAAAAGACTATACAAACCGACCTTATACTGTGTAGCAATGGTGAAGCTACCAATTGTAACATGTCTGACTACTTCGGAAAGAATTAATATCAATAGTTGAGACCTTTATGTACACGTGTAATCCAACTATCAATCATCTTCATTGTTGCCTAATAACTCTAATGTCTTCGTGTCACTTTGCGATGTCCTCCACTTTTCTTTGGCCCATTAACCTGTGACTACTGGTCTTTCTAATGAACTAGCATATTTATTCTCCCGAAATTCTCCTAATTAGCTGCGTAAGCATCTAATTTATACATTTGGTACTACCTTTGACATCACACCTAATAGCTAAAATTGATATCCAAGGTCGTTGTGTACTGTGTTGCTGATATACACATATTTATAATTCCATTTAGGAAATCAGAAAAAACTTCATTCAATTCAGTGACTATAAATTTTTCCCTAAAGGTGAATGTAAGCAGAAATCAGAAAAGTTCACTTCAATAAACATCTTCTGGAAGTCATGGCTACGCGAAGCCGATGTTTTTTTCTTCGAGTATTTTAGCTGCATCATCAACTTATACATTGTTGGCAACCTAAGAGTTTCAGTTTCCTGTAAATTTCTCAAGACAAAACTTATTTCATTATCATTATCATCATCAGGAATCATCTTTATCTATGTGTATTTATTTGTCTTTATCACCTTTTTCACTTTTAGCATTATTCCCTTTTATTTTCTTTCTGCTAAGATCACAGTGACAACTTCATTTTGAAGCTAACCCAACATTTTTTAGGCAACAGGCTTTATTAACTAGCTATCATATCTTAGGTTGTGAATATATTTGTTTTCTAATGTGCTTATACATGATTCAGTTATTTACTTGGCGCCTCCAAAGCCTCACGATAGTCGGGGGTGGGTGCCTTGTGCTGTGGGTTGGCCACCCCTCCGCACACCTCTTGAAATGCTCCCATATGACCGGGCGTCTTACATAGCCTCTCCTGAGGAAGTCCTACTTACTGCCTTCACGTGGCGGAGGTGTTTTTCAACAAAGTGAGAGGGTGAAAGCGGATGCCCGGCGCTCTTCACCGGGTTGACTGTCCATTGGATGACAGTCTAGGGGAGATGGTTAAACCCTGATTCCAAACCTCCAATGACTGGCGTATGAAGCTCACTGGAGCTCACCGACAGACGTATGGACAAAGGGCTTGTTGGATGTCTGGCCCCATTCAAAAAGGCGTATGAACCGAACTCCGGTCACTGGCTGCCAATGGATAGTGGACTCCCTACTCCACTCCTACTGCCTTGTAGGTCACACTCGGTTGTGTAAAGGCTAGAGCTGCACTCTCAAACAAAAGGCCGAGCGATTTTGGGGTCATCACTCGTACCAAATTCCCATAAAACTTCATGAACTCTCATCAGATCGCCGCGCCTGGGCAGCGATGATTTGAGATGTTCATGAAGCCGGCTCATCCTCCCGTAGGAGATAGCCGAAGTAAAATAAGTCCTGAAATGTTAGTTGGTACAATTTACTTTATTATATCTGAAGGATTAAATGTGTAGTCCCCATTGATTCGATGGACATAGTAGCTGTAAAAATCTAAACACGTGAAAATCAAGTATTCATCTATTTAACAGTTAACTAAACATAGTATTCACTATGGAGACAATGTTTTTCATAAGAAAACAATGCATGGCTACAGTGTTAAGGCTATATTTGTTTTGGAAACAATATCTGTATCTGTTGTTTTAGAAAGTCTGATTATTCAAAGGATCCTTGCTAAGATGTGATTTATTTCAGTTTTTTGTGGTTTACATTACTTTTATCGATTTCGGGTAGCATGATAATCACATTTAATAATATATATAGATACAGAAATAACTGAGTTACAGATTTCAATCTACTTTTAGCTCTTTACTGTCCGTAAGTGGATTGTGTTATCATAAAATGTGAGCGGTTCTTTACAACTTCTTGTTCCTAATGGTAGGTTTCATATACTTGTGACTTTCAGACATTTAAAAGCCTCTATCTTTAATCAATAAAGGACGTTAAATAATTTCGCTATTTTTCACATAATTTGTTGTTTACATTCTGGTGTATACCTGTCATGTAATTAGGGCGTTTTGAAAAATATACATATTTAAAGATGGTAATTTCAGCCTTAAGGATGACTCAGTAAAAATTATATTTTTGCTGTTCATCAATGACTTACATAAATTTAGATTGAGAGAAAGTAACCTCGAAATTTATTATTACCTAATTAAGTAGAGTATTTAGATTAACAGACCATAATTGTTAACGGTTTAGTGATTTCATTGAATTTTTAGATTTTCTCGTCGATTGATTGAACCGAAGTGCTCGGTCTCAGGTTGACATGTCGGCCTTTTGTGCAGATGCTTTTGCGATGTTTGGGCATGTAATTAGAATTTAATTGGTGGATGTTGAGTAGCACTGGGATCCAGGATGCGCATTTCGTCCTATTTGGGGCTCGTCATTCAAATGTACCTGCATTCCCCAGTGAGTGATGATGTTCCCACCTAGGCTCATGGCGTTTGAAACTATGGGCAGTGGGTTTGAGCCTCGGTGGGAACATCATCATTCACTGGGGAATGCAGGTACATGCGCATCCTGGATTCCACTGCTAGTCACCATCCACCAATTAAATAGTTTAGTGACTTGTTTTTTTTGTTTACAACAGACCCTTAAGTCTGAAGGCATGGTTTGCCATAAGTTAATAGTGTACATGATATTAGGGAAGCCTAAATAGTTTTGTCTGCATAAAGAGATATTAGGAAATATTACTACTTTCTGCTTTTATCACTGCTGCTTGTTATTTCCCTTCAGATCATATTTCTTTACGATATCAATTGTTTTGTAAATGAATGTATATAGTGTCTGGTATGGTAGCACTACTTTATGAGGAAACTTGAGATTTCTGATTGTGTGTAAAGATTTTCAGAAATCAGGCTTTGTTTCGTAACTTGAGTCTCTTCTAAAATATTATATCGTAAAATTGGTGACTTAAAAAAATACCACACTCAGGGGGTAACGTGCTTGTCTTGAAACCAAAAGGTTCTTCATCAGTCTGATACAGTATTCTAAACTAAAGCAAAAAAAACAACTCATTACAACTTTTCACTTTGAATATTTCCTTAGCCACTGATTTTGCACAACACTTATCTCATTTTTATTGATTTCTTTTGTTTCTAAAAATAGCGAGTTTATATGGCTCATGCACTTCGTCGTATATCATATGCCACATGTGACCCAGACAATTTTCAGTTTGCTTTCCTTGCTAGGGAACCAAAAGCTCAACCCAATATTCAGTACTGTCATGCGTTCGTCACAGCAACACCTGAAGCGGTAAGCTTTCAGTGCAAATATATCTTTATGCTTATGGGTAGGTTTATTATAGATAGTTTGAACAAGGTACATAGGTCTATCTATTTATTGTTGAGGTGCTATATTACATAAGAGGTTTGTTTGTATTACTCACTGACTGACGTTCCTTGATGTACTTTATTATCAATGCTCATGTCTAAGATAGCTTCATAGTTACCACCCTATTTTTCCGATCAGTCTTCTGAATTAGTGTAAAGCGATTTTGCAGGTCTTTTCCTTCAGTTTCACTCCTACTAACTAATGTTGTCGACTATTACTGTTGAAATTTTCAGTTAGTTAACTGTTGAATCATTTTCTTGGCCAGTTAAAAAGAAGTTCCGCACGTGAATTAGTTACTTTAGACCTTAGAATTCCAGTAAGCTTTTGCAACTTGTGACAGCAGGCCACTTGTTTTCTCTGTCTCTATAGAACACAAAAGGTGACAGTTACTGCCACCTTTTACACAACTGATCACTAGTCGCCAGTGATGTACCAGTTTGTAGATCAGACAATATTATGTGCATTGTGTAAAACCAATATATATAGTAACTGGAGATGTAATTAATTACCGGCGAGAATTGCAGAGAGTGACCACTAATTTTGGTTTCCAGTAGTCAAGTTCCTAGAATGCACATGAAATACCAATTTTTTCCAACACAACTCAGTCTTTGTACGCTTCCCTTCAAATGCTGTTGATAGCTTCTGTTCTATTACGCTAATGGAATCGCAGGCGGTAGATGCATTTTTAGAAGTGACGAATAGATGTCACAGCTTTATTTCTAACGCTTTACCATTCAGTCGTTTTAAACTAACAATTATTAATTCACTTTTTTTTCGATTGGATTTATTTCTAGCTAGTATGGTATAGTCAGCGGTCACCATGCCACTTGTCTACCGTTTTGTTTTTTCTAACAATGTGTTAATATTTATTAACCAACCACGCATGTGGCCTAGGGTCCGATCCCCGGCCGATGCACTCCTAAACCTCACTGAGCCGGTGGTAAGACTGGTAAAGAGAGAAGATTGAGTGTGAAGCTAGCAGCCTCAACCCTGTAAAGATAAAACCACTACTATCGGGACTTCGAAGCTCTAGCTTAAAGCCTTATGTTCCACTCTGAAAGTAAAGGAATGAAATAAATGATAAAAAAATTGCGTGTATCCCGTTGTTTTTCTTTAAAATCTTGGATAAAATGGTTTATTTTTATGTAAATGTTTTTGAAAATATTCTAGATTTTTCTAATAAAACATTTCTGTTTTGTAGGCAGAAGAACTTAATACAATAATGGGGGAAGCTTTTCGTTTGGCATATGCCCAACAACGCCTTAATGCAGCCTCTAATAATCCGAATTTGTTTCAGCCGTCCACTATAAGTTCATCATTATTTCAGGCTCAGCAAACTCCTGTAAATGTTACTCGTTCCGTTTCCACAGGTCAAAATGTCCCGGTCAACCTCAACTCTCCAAAGTAAGTCCTTTTTTCCTACTTAATTTTTATTTTCCCAGATTTCTGTAAATCATTTTTTCGCTGTCTATTTACGCAGATGTTGTGTATTTGTGAAAGTAGTCTTACATATTTCGATGCATAAACAAAGTACACGATTCTTTCCGTTACTGACTGAATTTGCTTTAATCTGACATATAATTCAGCGGGTAGGCTTAAGACGGTCAACATCTGAAGTGTTTCTTGTGTTTAAGTCTCAATAATTGTTTTTAGATATGCCATCAACTTTTCCATTAGTATTTATGCACTGATAACATTTCAGAGACGGCTACATAATATTGTTTATGTTATTCTGTAGGATTATTACCCGACCGACAGCTGCTACCTTGACGTAGTGGTCGGGCTTGCATACCGCGATGACCCAACAAGCTACACTGGCTGGAACAAATGTTCCTGCAGGTTCTACAATGCCAGGAAGGTTGTTAGGATAGCGATTAGACTAAAAACAGTCAATGTCATAGTGTAAGAATTTTCTTCTACATTATTCTGGGGGTCTGTGGACGAAGTCGTACTGCTGGGGAACAGGGGTGTAACAATAGTAAGGTGTTTCCCTCAGATGACCAGCATGACAGCCACATATGCTGTCTCGCCACTCTGGAGAGAGGGGGTTAGAAAAGGTCGATCCCTAAAATTGTACATCCCGTAACCGGCGGTTAGTTTACTAATACGAAAGCAAACCAAGAAACCAGTTCATACAGGCTGTGTGTGACCGGCCTCAAGCAGTTGTCCCCTGGGCTCTGCGGTCACGCAACACTAACTCTCTCTCTGTTTCAGGTACCCGAAGAATCAGGCAACTTCCACGGTGTGGGCAGCCGGGAAGTAACAACCGCCCACACACTTCCAAAAGCACACAGACAGACAGTAGGATTATTAATTCTGACGATATAACCGAGGAGCATATGAGAAGCGTAATTTAGTTCTTTCAAAATTATTAACTGAGATTGTTTTCAAACTAACTTTGCACAGTGGTTTTTCCTGACGCAGTAGTGGTACCGTGTCTACTAATGATTGCTGTGTGGTTTTTTTGTAAGTGAATGTCTCCACTTCATTATTGTAGCTTCACATATGTACCTGGTGTAAGCTGTAAGATCTGTTTCAAAGTCTTACCAATGCCAGCAGTAGTGAAATTCACTTTTCTTTGTGCGAATACTACCCATTTTGGTCAATTCTCACCTTTTGAATTAACCTAGATAATAAAATTGAATTTTTCATCACTTTATCTCTTATTTTCTTAGTCAAGGTGCACAAACTGTCAGTACAAATCCCAGCAATGATAGCCAAATAATCATGTCCAGTAAACCTTTACCACCTTTACCAGAAACTGAACAGTGTGTGGCTGCATGTGATGAGGAGAACATTCAGTCGAATGTTGGCAACGTCACTGATAAACAACGAGGAAATAAAGCTCACAAGTAACTATTATTATTATTATCATTTTATTGTTCTGTTTTATTTTGATATAATTTTTCTTCAATTGGTCTGAACTATTTATTTATAAATCTATCTCAATACTGTCGGTGTCACAGCGGTTAGTACGCTCGCCGTCAGTACACATGATCCGGCCACCGACGCACTCCATTACCTCTCTAAGCCAGTAATAAGACTAGTGAAGGGGGGAAAGCTCGAACATGAGGCTAGCAACCCCATCCCGAAAAATCTGAACACCACTGCTCCGAAATTAATAGCTTGAAGCCCTACATTCCACTGGGAACGTAAAGGAATAAAAAAAGTCTCAATACTGACTTGAATACAGCTTTTAATGTCTACAGCTGTTACCTAACTCCTTTATTTCATTTGTAGATGGAAGACAAAATAGGTTTTATATTCATTAGAAGTGTAAGAATGAGGAGAATGACCCTTCTACTCATTTATGCTCTTAACAGTTACATTATCTCACTTAAGGCATTCTCGGTTACGAAGCGTTAGTTCGAGATACGATAACGTTATGCCATATTGAAGCATTCGCTCTACAAAAATCTTTTGATTTTTTTGTTTACCATTTCACAGACATAAACACCACAAACATCATCATCGTCATAAATTACGGGATGCGACAACAAGCACAAGTGAACAAGCTGTTGGAGTTGGTGATTCTGTTGAGGCAGTAGTACAAAAAAGCGGTGAAATGGAAAGGTTTGTAGAGAAGAATGAACAGTTGAAACCACCACCTCCTCCTCCGCGTTGTCAGTCATCTGTGACACCATCAGCTCAAGGTCAAGTTCTAAACACTGCATCATCTACTACAAATCACATGAACCAGGATGTTGATTCAGGGAATTCAGGTGTTAAACGTAATGAAACTGTTTCAAACAAAAGTGTAGAGAATGTTAACGATGCTCCACCATTGAGGCCTAAGTCTGTGAATACTCAGTAAGTTGTTTGTATTCTATATATCTCATTTACTTTTATCCTCCTGTGAACTGGAGCTATTTATGAAAGTAAACTGTAGCATCGTGTATGTTACTCAAGGAGCTTGGCGTAGCAGCCTTAAATATGGGTTACAGCCATTGCCGTATAATGAATTTTATTGATTTAAAAGTTTTTTTTCACTGATGATTGTCATACTAATCTTGTTAAAATTCATACATTAGGAGACTTTTAGTGTACTTGTATTCAAGTCTTCATGTTAACTTATCCGGCCCAGAATTTTCCTGTACTAGGTGACGAGCCACAGTTATTGCACGAGGGATGATGATATATGACGCAGTTGCTCAGTTTGAGGTAAGTGGAATGGAATCTAGAAGTAGGAATTACTAGCTGCATATCAGGTGCTGTATGTATGGCTTACATAAACAATCTATGGAACTCTGGATAATTGGTTTATGCTCTTGGTTTCCAGCAACTGCGTCATAGGTTCGGATCACATTCCACGTAGCTAAGTTCGGGCGCCCAGATAGTATCACTTGCCTTCACACCATAAATGTGACTCATTGCCAGCTGCATGGAAATGAAAATGGTAGCTGGTCAACATTTTCTATACATAAACAATCGTTGTCTCAGACAGGCAGACATTACTGTTTAGAAATCCAAGTAATTACACCTTACTACTGCACCTCAAGTGAAAGGCATAGTACGAAATTAGCCTGATATAAGTCCTTCACCTTCAACGGTCTTGTTTCTCACCTTTCTCATATGGCAGAGTCCAAGTTACACCATACACGAAAAATGTACATTTTTATATATAAATTTTCATAACAAATGATGATGGTGATGCAGAGTGGTTTAAAATCATAGTAAATTTGAGTTTTTTAACCGTTTTATTAAACCCTTATAGATTATCACAACATTTTTATGATATGGCTGATCATCGAAGTTGTGGCGGTATTTCATTCGACAAAGAAACTCTTACCACCAATGATGAAAAAGACATTCAAGAATGTAATCCTGAATTCACTACTGATAGTGTTCTTGCCAATACGTCTACAGCGACAACAACATCTTCATCAACTACTGGCTGTTCAACTGCAACATCTGGCTCAGGTTGTTTAGGCTCAGGTTCTGATAACAGTTTACCAGCTGGTAAGCGTTGTACTTGCGTTCCAGGTTGCTCGAATTGTGAACATGCCTGTGTAACGACGGTCAATAATAATAATGCAAATCCTGGAAATAAAATAATAATAACAGCAAACTGTTGAAACCCAATGATCATCATTTACCTGTTCCTCCTACATCTCCATGCTCTACTCCAAACTTTTCTTCACGAAATATTGTAGATGATGTCAATGAATTGTCGCATGCACCTTGGTACCTTCCAAATCTACCACGTGATAAAGCCTTGGAAATGCTTGCCAAACAACCCGTACGTTTACTTCGTATAACTAGTAACATTGGAAATATTTCATTTTTATTTCCACGTGTTCATTATCCTAATAGTTAACTGTTTAGAAGCTTGATTTGGTTTGCAGGAATTTGATTGATTGGTTACAAGATTTCATCATGAGTTGACATTGGTTAGAGAACCATTGGAAAACCACCAGGGAGGACTGAACAGCTGTTTCGTTAGCCTAGTTTGGGACTTTTTATCAGTACTCACCCAGGACGTCTACAAGCCCGCCTTGTAACCAAAAGGTCTTAGTTTCGAACGTCAGTGGGTGCGTACTATTTAGAAGCTATTTGACCATTTCTGATCATTTTGGAAAAAGATCCGGTTTTTAAAATATTTTTGTTAGAATCAGAACTGGGTATTCATTAGAGGCAACAAGCTAGCTACTGCATAAAATAGATATGCCAATCAGTTCGGTGAAAGTGGACACGAAATTACTACCGTTTGGCGTACTACTTTATTTTGCTACCCATTCGATAGGATAGACTTTTAGGCTGTTGATTGTCAGACACAGTCATGTTGAAACCTAAAAAAGTATTGAGTTATTGAGTCGCATTGGGTATTCGGGTGCGTCGGTGGCACAGCCATAGAATTTTCGTCGACCACGCATGTGGTGCAGGGTTTGATCCCCGACCACCGACGCACTCCATTACCTCTCTAAGCCAGTAATAAGACTGGTAAAGAGGAAAGGTTGGACATGAGGCTACCAACTCCATCCCGTAAAATCTGAACACCACTGCTACTGAAACTTCAAGCGTCTAGCTTGAAGCCCTATGTTCCACTGGGAACGTAAAGGAATTAATAATAATAACAATAATAATAGGATATTTGCTCATATAAACCGAATCACTTAACACTAAAAGGGGTTGATTCAAATGGTTTTTTCTATCAGTAACTTGTTTATGGCAGAGAAGATGCTTGTGGTTGAAACAACTGTTAGTTGGTACATTTAGGATCATAAAACAGTCTTTTGCAATAGTGTGTTATATTCTGAGTATTTGGCTCCAGGAATGATTCACCTATTCATGAAATCACGAATACTACAGTTTCAACGACTTTATTTATTTACAGATTGCATCTGACTGAAAGATCCAAAGAGTTTTTTCAATCTGTTTTCAGTAGTCCCCGAAAATGCATGTTTCTTAAGAGATTTTGAAATGTTATTCAGATGACGCAGGTGCGATTCTAAACTTCTTCAATAGAAATTGCCTAGTAATTTTAGCAGAACTGCACATCACTGGTTATCCTTGAACAGCTTATCAGACTATTAGAGTTATTGTTTAGAAAAATGCTGTGCGTAATAACACTGTTATGTACATGCTTAAATGAGTGTTTCGGTTTCTAAATTTGTTAGTTTGTAAACTATTTGAGGAAAGCCAGCCATGTAATGGGTATTTAAATGTTCTGAATGGATAATTTATTGACTGTTTTGGTCTTATAGAATTGCTACAAACAAATCCATATAATAGAAAATTATATTTGTAAAATCTCAGCGAGATTGAAATGAGTAATTCCAACGTTTCGTTCGACAATCTGGTCAGAACTTCTTCAGGGAAATTAATCGAAATTAACAGAATGCATATCCTAAACCCGTAGCTGTCGAGTCACCTGACAACTCCAGTAGGTCGAATAAAGCAGCTCAATCTTCAGAAAGAAGACAAAGCAATAAGTCCGACAGGGTGCTTCTACTAAACTCTAATCCTAAACACCATTATTTTGAAAATACATCTAATCATAAAATTCTAGATACTAACAGTTTGAACAGACATGAAGGCGTGATGTTAGCTGATGCATAGGAAATCCTTATTAATAAATAAAAAATGAATATGTATCACTAATTATCAATACTTGGTCACAATTCTCGACTGTCTATATCTTCCTATGGAGACGTTAAGAAATGTTTTACAACTGTTTACCCACACACACATACACACTCTGTTTAAAGTGTTTAACAAAGGTAGACCAATATTCGTAAGTCCGGGGTCAAATTTTGATCACAGCTCATAAAATTTTGTTTATTATACTTGTTGAATGACTCATGATTGGACAAAGTTTAAAAACAAGTGATGTTCCTTTTATATATAAACCTCTGTTATGTTAATTTCGATTAATTTCCCTGAAGAAGTTTGGACCAGACTGCCGAACGAAACGTTGGAATTACTCATTTCAATCTCGCTGAGATTTTACAAATATAATTTTTTACAAATGTCTACTTCTCACTCGGCGCCCTAATATTTTAGAACTATTCTTTCAAATCTTGACGACAGTTCATTTGAATCCATATTAATTAAATTACTACATTTTATTTATTCATTGTTCTGAATGTTCCCTTGTTTTGTATTTATTGTTTCATGATAGCCTGGCAGCTTTGTTGTACGAGATAGTGGAAGTCATCCAAATAGTTATGCCTTGTCAGTACGGTCCAGTAGTGATCATTCAGTCGGTAGTTGTTTCCATTCCAGACAATCACAGGTTCCAATAAGTCGAATGAAAGATGTGCATCCTTCATTGGGATCAGTCTATCCATCCTCTGCCAGTGGAATAAGTCATTTTCTGATTCAAAAGACACCAGGAGGCGGTGTCAAGCTTAAAGTAGGTGGATCTGAAGGTATTTCTATTTCTTAATTTTTTTCTGACATGTCTATTGTGTAATTTACTCCGATACAATATTCATTTCTGTATTGACTAGTTAATCCTATTCTAAAGGCAGTCGAATTCGATGACAGTAACACAGCGCTACAGAATATTTGTACTATTGTTGCTTGCATGTGTTCGAATGATAAAAAGCTATGAAACCTGGTTATGTAGCGCGATGCTTCCTGTTGGGCGTACTTTAAAAGTCTGTCTGTCTGGATTTAACATAGAACTTGGCACCGAATTGCAGCAGTTCGAGTTGCCACGTTCCAAATAGCACACAAAGGTAGACAAGAAGATGAGTGAAGAGAATCAATAGAGTTTTGACAAGTATAAGAGTGAAACAGAGTGAGTAATGGTAGAAAGGAATATAAAAGATTACAGAGACTGAATACATCTGCTTAAGCCATTGACAACGATTTTGAGCCATGTTAGCTATTGTCTCCAGCCATTGATTCTCAGAGTCGCGAGGGTCCCAACCCGGAAGTCTGTATGTCCCTACCTGACTCAGTTTAACTGTCAAGGATTTCATGGATTGACGAGGCCATGTTTTTGTTTGGCCACCACTTACTCTTTTCCAACCTGCACCTATATCAGCTAGTAACTTTGAAAGTACTTTCATCTGCTCAATTTTACAATTATGGTTGACTTTTAGTATAAGTGTTATCTAAAAACACTCTAGGAATTCTGATTCTTCGAACTGAAAAATTGTCTTACACAAGTCAATGAAAAATTAGGCTTCATGATTTGAATTTTCACAGTCTGATAACTGGTTTCAAAATAAGAAGTTTATATGACTGAAATGATGTATTGTGTCACTGGTTATACTTTGTAATTCCACCACTAATACATATTGTACAAACTTAAAATAGAATAGAGGGGACGGTTAGATGTAACTGCTTCCTAATAACCAGTGGTTTATCTTACTTATATTACGGATTGCATAAATATAGTACCAATACCAAAACACCTTTTTCTGTACAGTGTTTTTGTCTTATCCTATTTTCTTTTAAACTTATTTTGTTTTAGGGTTTAGACAAAGAATGGCCATCTCTTGCTTGTCTTGTACTACATTTAACTGTGATGCCTGAAATGCTACCTTGTCCACTAAGACTGCCAAGAGCAACGGCTAATCCCACCTTTTCACCTGTTGATCATTGTGGTAATACAGATTTCGAGAAGCCTCCAAATGTTACACCATCACATTTTCGTCCAATGGGTGGTAATAGTGCTTTACACCGTGGGACAGATACAATTTCACTCGATGAAGCTTTAGCTCGTATGACTGACGAAGATGAAGATTATCAAAGATTGTCTGATTTCTCTTCCATTATGGCTGATTTGAAACTGCAGCCTAGAAATATGATTAGAAAACAGAAAAATTCATCTTCTAAATCCGGTGGTCGAGCTAGGTAGGTAGGTAGATAGATATTTTCAGCCTTTTGTTCAACAAACTTCACAACTGATTATCCCAATATATCTGTGTCACTTCTGATACAATCACCCCGGTAATGAAATTTATTTACTTATTTATTTATATATTTATTTACAATGAAAGGAATCTCTGCTTTTATTTATTTTATCACTTTTTGTAAAGTTTATCGTTATTTCTAGCATTGTATTCTTCATGGCAATACACACACACACACTACCTCTTTCTCTCCTCCCCCCACTCTCTCCCTCTTTCTCTTTCTCGTTACAAACATAGTTGAAGTGTATTCACAATGAAATCTAGTCAAAGTTTCCCACTAACACTCTCTTAGTCTGTCTGTTTCATCTCTTCATTATTGAATGCATAATGATGATGATATATTATGGGTTCATATAAACCCTAATCTATAAACAACATTTTATGTAATAAATAATAATATTTCCTTTTTTGTATAAATTTATTATCACTATTATTACTTTTTTCTTCTTGTTGTATCTTGTGTATAATTTCTTTTATTTCATTGTAAAATCTTTTCACTTATTTGTTTTTATCTTTGAATTGGTGTTCTATTGTCATTATCTCCTGTTGTTGTTACTGCTGCTGCTTCTATTGTTCTGTTTTTTTGTTTGTTTTTTAATTCTTTTATTTTCACCATTCTAGTTTGTCTTTACTTCATTATCATGTGCGTCGGTGGTGGTGGCACAGCGGTAGAATGCTTGCCAGCCACACCTCGCGTGCTCCGGGGTTCGATCCCCGACCGCTGGACGCACTCTTACACCTCGCTTTGCCAGTAATAAGACTGGTAAAAGAGGGAAGGAAGGTTAGCCATGAGGTTAGCAACCCCCAACCTGTAAAATCTCAACAACAACACTGCTACCGAAACTTCAGGTGTTTAGCTTGAAGCCGTATGTTCCACTGAGAACGTAAAGGAATAAAAGAAAACCCGATCATTAAAGGATATTCTATTATTTTCGCCTTTCTAATTTGTCTTTACTTCTTCCGTCTTCATTTTTATTTTTGGTTTTTGCTTTCTTTTCATTAATTAAAATTGTAAATGCTGGTTGTTGTTTTTTTCTCTCGTATGAATTAATTTCATTTTGATTATTGTTGTCGTTGTTGCTGAGGTTGAGGTTGAGGCTGATATCATTTTCCAACCTTGGAGGATCCAGACTTTGGAGATACATTAGTAGTGCAATATAAACACTTTCATGCATACACATGTATACGTAATTAAGTACTATATATATATTTTGTATTTTTTTTTGTTTTGTTTTAATTATCTCTTTCATTGCCTTTCCCATTGTCCATATGATGAAATGTTTACTCGAAGTCAAGTGAACATTATATACTACCATATTTATATATTATACTACCTAGTTATTATTATTTTTTTGATGATCTCAATAAAGCATTTATTGTCATTACTTCCAATGATTTAGAATGATGTGGGGGGTCACATCATGCATGCTTTTTTATTATTAAAAAGAAAATCTCATTATGTAGAAAGGAAAAAACATGTGTGTGAATGTGCGCGGATGGTGTACACATCTTCTAAGTAAAGTAATTTAAAAATTCTTCTTCCTTTAAAATAAACCTGTAGTTTTTGATTGTGCTTTTTTTTCTCTCTTTTTTGCTCCTCCTCTTTTCCTCCTCCTCCTCCTCCTTTGAATTTTGCTTAAATATATATAAAGCGTGCAGACACGATTGAATTGTATTCAGTGTTGTGTTGTGTTGTATAAGAGATAGAATTGAATCATTGATGATACTGTTTGTTTTTTTGTTTGTTTTTTCTTTGCATTCATTTATTGAAGTCAATTGGTGGATTGTGGTGACTGACTGACTAGCAGTGGAATTCAGAATGCGCATTTTGTTCTATTTGGGACGACTAGTCGTCAGATTGGTGTAACCGTGTTCCTGCTGAGGCTCGAAACCAATGCTCATAGTTTCAAACGTCAAAGCGTTATCCACTAGACCATTTGGGACATGAGAGTCACCTCTTGTGCAGTGGGTCTTACTGACGATTATTTAATTCAATTTTAGATTGTTCCGTCGATTGATTCGACCGAAGTGCTCGGTTTCAGGTTGACATTTTGGCTCCTCGTGGAGATGCTCGGACCGATATCTCGTCATTTAAATTGAAGTCAATTGGTGGATAGTGACTAGCAGGTACATCCTGATGACGAGTCCCGAATAGGACGGAATGTACATCCTGTACATCTACTGCTAGTCACCATCTACCAATTGACTTCAAGTTACATGACGAGACATCGTCGAAGCATCTGTACAAGGAGCCGACATGTTAACCTGGGACTGAGTACTTCGGTCGAATCAATCGGTGGGAAATTCATTTATTGAGTTTGTTGACTGCTGTTGGAGACAGTTATCAACGGGATTGTGCTAAAAGTATACACGATATACGACATCGTCTCAAAGTTGAATGTAATAGACTATAGTTATTTGTGTCTGCGAAATCTAGTCTCTTTGTACGATATAGAGGGACTCTGTGTAACACTGTGAAGCATTCATGTGGGGGTGCTCGATGTCCAGAGATGACAAGGTGTTCGAGGATCGAGCTGTTGCTGTTCTTCTTTCCTCCTCTGGCCAACCAAGCTGAGCAGTGTTCCAGAATACGTTTTTGGACTTGACGTTGCGTACGGCCAATATACTTTGCTCCACACGAGCAAGTAAATTGATAAATACACATTGAGGTGGCCAAAAGCGGTATCTTGTCCTTAGCGTTAGACTGGATTAACTGTCTGCAGGAGAATGTGATACGTAGAGTGGCTGTTGGAAATGTCTTCTTCAGACACTTAGAAAGGCGGTTTCTGAGAATTTCCGCTGCGACATCACCTTTGAATCCTAGGTTCATGAAGAGAGTCTTCTTAGGAACCGTTGCGATGTTTGACACCGGAGGCTTCTCCTTCAGACAGTTAATCCAGTCTAACGCTAAGGACAAGATACCGCTTTTAGCCACCTCAATGTGTATTTATCAATTTACTTGCTCGTGTGGAGCAAAGTATATTGGCCGTACGCAACGTCAAGTCCAAAAACGTATTCTGGAACACTGCTCAGCTTGGTTGGCCAGAGGAGAAAAGAAGAATAGCAACAGCTCGATCCTCGAACACCTTGTCATCTCTGGACATCGAGCACCCCCACATGAATGCTTCACAGTGTTACACAGAGTCCCTCAATATCGTACAAAGGGACTTCGGATTCGCCATCTGTACATAGCTGAAGCATTAGCTATTCGAGATCTAAAACCGGACCTCTGCATACAAAATCTAGTCTCTGTCTAAAGGAATATTAAAACAGTTCTTTACGCTTTATTACTGATATTTTATTAGTAGTAGTCATCCAAATCATGCATATCTCTGGTTTTAAATTGCCTATTTCTTCTTATCGCCATATGAGAAGAAATAGTTTGAAATTAGGTTGGTAGAGAAGCTTGATGATGAGATATTCAGAGAAGCAACAAATTTCACTTCACCCTTACATACACACTTGATGAACACTGTTATAAACATGTTCACTCGATGATTCTGACAACCTTAAAAGTAATTTGTTATCCATTAAGTCCTGTTAGTCTTACAGAGGCTTTTTGTTTTGTTCCTCAGCATAATTACAGTGTGACCATGAAAGTTATTTCTATACTTCCTTTCATTGGCTAATATGATATAGATTTTCGCATACGTATACCTTCAATCGTAATTCTGGGATATGAAGAATAAATGAAGTTGCCTTTAAACTTAACAGTATTAAGTGTAATACATTGGATCGGGAATACTCTGTGGAGACCGTTGAATGACATCATGGATCACACTCTCAAATGGGAAACGACGAGTGGCACATCTGAGGGTGACATACATAGAGGAGGAGATGAGAGTTTATGGTCAGTCGTGGAGATAGCTTAATAGGATGTGTTGTTTGGAGCCCTATGTTCCACTGGGAAGCCAAGGGAATAATAGTAGTAATTCATGTTGGATTTAGAATACTGAATGAGCAAGTATAATTAATCTCTGTCGATGCGTCGTTTTTCTTGAAAGAACATATAATTCACAGTTACATTTTTTATTAATCTTACAGCATTAAACAAATAGCTGTACAAACTATGTAGACAGAGAGAGAGAGAAAGAAATACATTAACTATCCAAAAGACAGTGTGATGAGTTATTGTGATCGGAATATATATGATGGTTTAGAGGGTAGATTTTCTGCATTACTGAGTTTTGTCCATATTGTTTTTAGGAGACGAGTAGGTTTGGAAATCTGAAATTAATTAAACCAATAAAATGGTTGTATTAAGTACATGAAAGGTTAATTAAAGTCACTTTTGAGAAAATATTCTTACTCCATTCACTCACTCACTCATCTTACAAACGCTGTGTTAGCATTCCAATTTTTTCTTTTTTTCCCTACACACTCAGCTTTGAAAAGCATGTGCTACCAAGTTACTTAACGTAATGTGATCATAAATAAAAAAGAATGTTTTGCAACATTTCTTAGAATGCGTTGGTGGCATAGCTGTAGAATGCTCGCCGACCACACACGTGGTCCGGGATTCGATCCCCAGCCACCGACGCACTTCTTTACCTCTCTAAGGCAGTAATAAGACTGGTAAAGAGGGAAGGTTGAGCATGAGGCTACCGACCCCATCCCGTAAAATCTGAACACCACAGCAACTGAAACTTCAAGCGTCTAGCTTGAAACCCTATGTTCCTCTGGAAACGTAAAGAAATAAAAATAGTATTTATTAGATTACTTAAGTTACAGAGTAGATTGCTTCACAAGTGTGATACATATGAGAAGGAGAGAAGAGGATACAAATTTGGCTGTGTATAGACGGTTCAGCTACTCACCTTGTAAACAACTTATTTTCATTGTTAAGAAGTAGTTTAGAGTAAAGATGTGCAAGGGTTATAACTTTCATAATTTCCTATGGAGCTCAGGAGAATGAATAAAACTGAAACAATTATAGAAAATGCAGCCTCAATTAGGTAAAATAACACGCTATTTGATTTCTTCTGGATAAGTGAGCTGCACATTTTTGTTACAAAATAACGTAATCTAACTATTCTGTAGCTTTTTCCCCCTTATTCCTGTGTTGGTGGACAGTCTTAACCAAGATGAGTTACCTTTGCACATTGTAAGGCCTTCAAAGCAGTTTTACTTTCTTCAACTGGAGCATTAATTTTAACTGTATTAGTATCTATTTAATGAAGCTGTGAGGTGATATCTTTATTTAGAAAGTAGCTTACCTCTGTTTTAAAGGATCTTATTTTGTAGCTGTTTAGTAAAAGGATGTTTGCAAAGTCATTTCCCCTGAAAATGTCGAAGTACTGTGATACGATTGTTTGATCACGGTTTGCAGTTAATAATTAGCAGTGGCACTGATATCAGATAAAAGTGATATATATATATATAGTTTTACCATTTAGGTTACTCATGAATGGAGGATTGGATTGGTGAAAACCGACTGATACCTCAGGTGGATGACATTCATGGAGTTATACTCTACCACAGTGCCCAAGTTTTATACTTATATCAAGGACGACATTTATGTACAATGTTAAGGGTGTCCCTGAAGATGGAGTGATAAATGTATGAGTTTCATAGAGTTTATATTTTTTCTTTGACATAACAATCTCAAAATATAAAAAAACAATCATGTTTCTATTAATTAGGAGTAATATCCACGGTGTATAGGAATCATTTTTCCATCCTTTTCTGTAATTGCAAATGCTTTCTGAAATGTGAATCCAAATGTGTTGATTCAATTTTGGATTTTCAAAAATTAGTTTGTAGGGACTGTATTCGTCTCAGGTGCCCCCTAGTGACTGGCTACAGGACGAAGTTGCCAGGAGTTCTAGTCAGAAGTCGTGATCAGTGGGGTCTATCCAGTAAGGTGTGAGGATGGATTTCCCGCCGATGATACTGGTTGGTGGTCATGCTAAAACCACGAATTGGTAGAAGATAGAATTCATGGACTGGCCATTGAGTCGGGTCCCAGTTTCTGAATGGTATACGAGCTTGCCTTGTAACCGGAAGTTCCTGGGTTCGAAACCCAGTGAGTGCATACTGTTGATGAATCTCAAATCAGGATGAAACAGCTGTCTAGTACTCCAGTGCTGGTTTTCAATGGTTCTCTAACTGATATCAATCCGTGGTTTAACCTAAATCAATTTCGAATGATTTCTAGACATTTTGATATTTTATAGCCTCTATTGGTTACTTTTGGGTGTTTGAGTGTTAATTATCTTGTCAAATTTTCAAGCTGTATTTGTAAAAGTAACCTTCTCATCAGTATGGTAAGCATACAATCGATATTTGGAGGTAGTTCAAAAGCACCTGCCATCAGTAACTCTATAGATAATTCATGGGTATTTTTGTATGTAGAGAATAGCAGATTTTTCTAAATTTGCATATGTCACCTCTTCCCCCCTCACCTATCGTTCACTAGGCAAGTTTTGTCATTTTAGATGTGGAAGTCTTATTCCACTGGATTTATTCATATCACTAGACGCCGTGGTGTATTGCTTTAGATATTTCACTCTCAACTACTGGGTCACACTCTAAGGGCAAAAGTTTAAACAAGTCAGGCGGTAAAGGGATATTAGATTGGCTACTTACCAAGTGTATGTGAATATGCACTCGATCGTTGAGTTACTTAAAATCGGTAAAGTTAAACTTTAAGCACCACTAACTACCAATAAGTGAATGACCTCGAATGCACCAATCACGTGAAGGAGGCATTTTTTTGTATGGAATACATATATTTATGAAAATATGCATAAAAACTGTAGAAAAGTGTTATAGAGGATACTTTCCTCTCACATGTGATAAAAATAGCTCTTAGTTTTAGGTCGGTGTATCAACAGAGTATAATTCAATTGTGGATAAAATTTATTTTGATAAAGTGTCATAGGGTAATACAGCAACATTTCATGACCAATAAATTGTGCTCAAAATGTGGTCATCAGTAAATATTACTGTATAACACTGTGGAACTTTATCAAAATAAATGTTATCCACAGTGGAATTACACCCGACCACAGTGCACAAGTTCTATTCTTATTATATCAACAGAGTAATTTAATCACATTCTACGCATGTAATTATTTAGGTCTTCTTAACCTAACAATAACCCTAATCTTTCCTGAACCTAACCCTAAGGTGAAAATATCCCTAAACTAACTGTAATCTAACTCGAACCAACCCTAATGTCGCCTTTATCAAGTTAACTTAACCCTAACTTGTCCTTGGCTTAAAGCATAACTGAATCTTTCTCAAACGTAAGCTGAAATTTGCGAGATATCCCATTTAATAGAGCAACACTCCGATGACCATATTTTATTGATGACGACAACATCATTTGCCAGGTTTCACTAACTTGCTCAGTAAGCGTTTCAAGGTCAATGGTGCGGTCGCACTCCATCGGTAGTTAGTGGTGCTTAAAATTAAACTTAGGTTTAGTTGAGTATGAAATCACTTTTTGATATGGTTGTGTTCTCTGAGCTGGATAGTTAATTTGCGAAGCTTTCATCACCCTACTAGGTGACATCTTCAGCCCATACTTCAATTTGAAGTGAGCTTTTAGATTTCTACACGAGTTTATTAATCATCTCTCCAGGTGACCTTGAACGTGATTGGTTGTTTTTGTATGTTTTGACACGTTCAAAGCTACTTGTATTGGAACTGATTGTTTTTTTTTACTTGAACTTTGACCCTTTGTGTGTGAGGTTTCTTTTTTATCGTTTGATAAATTTTGTCAATCTCAATGTGTCTATTGATTGATGATTCACTGGAATGCCAAGCTTCTAAAAATTCTCTAGCATTCTTGTTGTTTCCTCTGTCTAATATCTGAACGTTGTCCCAGTCGAATTGATGTCCGTGGTTGTCTGTATGTAGTGATATGAGGGAGTGGATGTCATGTCTTTTGACGGCTAGCTTATGTTCGTGGATACGAAGACGAAGAGGACGTCCACTTTGGCCAATGTAGTGTTTCTCGCAGTTGTTACAATTTATTTTGTAGATGATGTTGGTTTTATCTTCTTTCGTTGTTCAGTCTTTTAGTTGACATAGAACTGAGTGCAGTGATTTTGTTGGTTTGTGTGCGACGTCAATTCCTAAAGGTTTGAAGAGTCTTGCAGTGATTTCTGATAGATCCTTTATATATGGTAGGGCGACTTTCTTTGTGTTTTCCTTGAGGGCTTTTGGTTTGATAGGGTTGGCTTGGGGGTATATGTCTTTTGGTGAAATTCCTTGGATATCCATTCTTTTGGAAGACGTCCATGATATATCTTTCTTCAATTTTCCTTGAGGTGGGAGTGCTGCAATGAGTCCTGGCCCTCTTAAATAGTGTTTGTATGCAATTCCTTTTGTGTGTTATTGGATTGTTTGCTGTTGTAATTCAGTATTTGATCTGTGTGAGTTGATTTTCTATAAACTTGGGTTTCTAATTCCCCGTGGTTGTTCGCTTGACTAAGACATCCAAAAATGGGATTTTGTTCTCGGATTCCTCTTCTCTTGTGAATTTGATGTCGTTGAAGAAGATAAGAAAGAATAGTCACACACAAAGGGTCAAAGTTCAAGTAAAAAAAAACAATCAGTTCCAATACAAGTAGCTTAGAAGGTGTCAAAACATACAAAAACAACCAATCACGTCCAAGGTCACCTGGAGAGATGATTAATAAACTCGTGTAGAAATCTAAAAGCTCACTTCAAATTGAAGTATGGGCTGAAGATGTCACCTAGTAGGGTGATGAAAGCTTCGCAAATTAACTATCCAGCTCAGAGAACAAAACCACATCAAAATCATCCACCTGAGCTACAAATCTTCTCCATCATATGAAATCACTTTCATGGCGTCAATTATTTTACGGTTCAGAAAAGTTGCATCTTCCAAAGACATTTTTAGTATTGACCACTATAAATAATAATCGAATTCAAAATGTATTGAAGTGTTATGAAAAAAAAAACAATGATTTACCTGTTCATGATGTGATTCATTATTTACTTGTATTGTTATCTTATCAATAACTTGTGACATAACCTCTTTCACCAGTGGATCTGTTTCATTTGAACGCATATTTTTCAACAGCTTTAATAACATCGAAGTTTTATCTTTATCAGTTGAATTATCATACTGTCCATAAGATTTATTTATATGATGATGATGATTTGATGTAGTTTTCAATTTCTCCGTGACATCACTTTCTATTAGCATACTTAAAGCTTTTAAAGCAGCTATTCTTTTCATCCCATTGGATTTCTGTTCCAAACCCCATAGCATACTCATCCATATAGGGGATAATAAATAAGGCGGAGTAGCAGGAGTATAGTGAATATTATTTTTCTTTAGACAATATTGTATGTGAATAGGTGATCCGGCTAGATAGAATATCGGATACTGGATTGAATTTCTACTAAAATTTGATTCATAATTTTGATGTATGCTGTTGGGGTTGGTTACTTTCTTCTTGATTGTTGGAGTATCATTCAGTCGAAAGGTTTGTTTAGAAGAATCCATTAAATATTGGAAAACTCTGTTTATCTGAAAGTTATCATTAGGAGAAAAGAAAAGTAATTTTCATGATGCACTATACATTTTTGGGTTAATTTGAAAATTTTTAAATTTGAACAAAGCAAGAACTACAATTTTAGCAGAATAAAGTGGTACCATCTTTTATTTCATTGCCTCCTCGTCAGCTGCTTACAGGGCAATAAATTATTAAATATATCTACAAAAACAATTTTAAAATACTTGCACAGAGTTCATTTTAAACAAAAATCAATCGATCAATATACGCATTCGGATGAAAGAGAGATGAAAAATATCCAGTTACCAGGGCAAAGAAAGACTGATAACTGTTTCTTTCTGAACACATAAATCAGGTTTCAAGCGCTTGATGGAGATAGCTTCAGCAAACTTGGGGAGAATTGAACTCTTTTGCCTACTGATAATTTTGAACGACTTTTCGACGTCCACCTCATGATGCGTGTCGAGGAGATGCCTGTTTAAAGCATTTGTTCCCTTTAGATGTAAGCTTTTTGGTACATGTTCAGAAAATCGTACATATGCCATTCTTTCTGTTCTTCCATTGTAACTGATGAAAATTTTTAATACATCGTGTTGTCGATTAGTGACAGTTGTGCCAGTTAGCTTGATTTATGAGAGATTATGCTATTCGATTAACTAAGCTGAAATGCTATTCAAGCTAAAGCACATACTTCTGATGTAACTAGTGATAATATCCACTTGACTGATATAACATTGGTGGCTTGCTTGAATCACTGAGCTACCTATTAAAAAAAATTTTTATTCCTTTACGTTCCAAGTGGAGCATGGGGCTTCAAGTTAGAGCATTTGAAGTTTCGGTAGCAGTGGTTTTATCTTTGCAAGGCAGGGATGCTGGTTTCGCGCCCAGTCTTCCATCTCCACTGGTCTTACTAGCGTCTCAGCGAGGTTTAGGAGTGAGTTGGTTGAGGATCGATCCCCGGACCATGTGTGGCGTGGTTTGAAAGCATTCTACTGCTAAACCATCAACGCATACCGGGCTACCTAACACAAAGCGTCATATTTTCTCCGATTCTTATTGTTTCGACCATTCAATTACATAACCTTGGGTCGCAAAATGTACTCACGCACATTTTCAATTGACTTTCTAACTCTGACAGTATGTATTTCGTGGAGATGAAAGGAAAATATCATTAGGGATTATTCTATACTTCATATCTAAATGGATTATGTCAAGTTATATACTGTAGACTTCTATTTCACTTGAAGATCCTATATGAGGAGAAAATGTTGCGCAATGAATTACTCTGTACACTGTGTATGTATTTTGCCTAAAATAAAGCTATTTATTAATATAATAATTTCAGTTATAGTAACGTCTTTGTTAGTATATAAAGGTGTTATTTTTCATGTATGCCAGTGGATTGCTATAAGGTATCTGTCCTAGTCCTAAGTGTTGATCGAGCAGGTATGAAGTGTGATAACCAACAAGGGTGGGATAACACTACTGTTGCACATGATAGCTTCATCACTTCTTCATGAAGTTGCATTGAATGTTATACATGAATCTTATATGGAAGGTTTCTCCCCCCCCCCCCAAAAAAAACCCAAGTAGTCAGCCCGTGTGATTTTGTTTTCATTCCTTTGGGTTCCGAATGGAACACAGGCCTTCAAGATTGAGCTTTGAAGTTTCAGCAGCTCTTATGCTGTTTTTACGGGGGGAAATTGGTTGGTTTCACTATGAACCTTCCCTTTCTGCTGGCTAGGTGACGTTTGTAAGGGAATCGAACCTGGACTACGTGTATGACTGGCCAATATTATATCACTGAAACACCGACGCACTAAGCATTACTCATTAGGCCGTTTCGGCCACCAGTATGTATGTAAGAACTAATATTCTCTTCAAAATTGAAATCTGTGATATCCATTACCAACAGTTCACTCTTGATAAGAGTTACACTTTTTCAAATATTGATTTGTAGGGATTTGATCGAGTGGTTACAGGATTTTCATCATGAGCTGACATCGGTTAGAGAATCATTGGAACACCTGCAAGGAGTACTGAGTAGCTGTTTCTTCAGCCTAGTTTGGGATTAACCCTTCAGCAGTACCCACCTACCGTCAGGGTTCAAACCCAAGACCTTCAGGTTACAAGGCTATCGAGTTCGTGGACCAGTAATCCACCGAAACCCGATCTAACGGGCAGTCAGCCCATGAATTCTAACTTCTGCCAATTTATGACATAGCGTGACCGCTAGCCAATGTCTTCGCTGGCGAGTATTTATCCTCACACCTGACCTGCTTCACCCTACTGGTCACGACTTCCCACTAGAACCCCAAGTAACTGCCTACCTGAATAGGGCCAGTCGCTAGTGAGCATCTCATTGATTTTCAAGTATAGGTGTGTAGGGATTTGATTGATTTGTCCAGTACTCCCAGTTGGTGCGTCGGTGGTATAGCAGTTAGGACGCTCGCCGACCATGCACATGGTCCGGGTTTCGATCCCCGGCCAGCGACGCACTCCTTTACCTCATTGAGCCAGAAATAATGCTGGTAAAGAGGAAAGGTTGGGCATGAGGCTAGCAACCCCATCCTGTAAAATAAACACTGCTATAGAAACTTCAACCCGCTAGCTTAGAGCCCTATGTTCCACTGTTGAACGTGAAGGAAAAGAAGAACTGCCCAGTTGGTTTACCAGTAGTTCTCTAACCGAAGTCAGCTGCTGGTGAAATTCAGTTACACTTTGTTTTTTATTCTCATCATCAGAATTGAATATCTTAGTGAACTGAATTGAAACATCTTCTGATTCATTAAGGATGTAATGACTATACTTTTAAACTTTTATATATTTTTTCGCATAATTCTAAAGTTGTAAAATTACTCGTCTGTCAGTCATGAACCGTTTTCTTTACAGTGTCTTTTTCATTTTATTTTGTTTCTTACAAAACTATGTAATTTTTAGAAATAATAAGCGTAAAACAGAGCACATGTCTATCACAGTTTTCATTCAAAAACGATTTACAACATACATATATCGTGTGAATTAAATCAACTGAGCATTTAAAATTGACTAATAAATACTATATAAGATGTGTGTATAAGATTGCAGGCGTATTTTAGCAGACAGTGTTTATTAAACGTCGTCTTCAGCACTGATAAAAAACACACACAACAAAACTAACGTGCTCTATATTGTTCACAATACAATAATGACTACATCCTTTCAAATCAGATAAACTTAGACTTTTTATATATATCCGTCTCTGACGCAGACGCAATATCCGACTATCGACCAAAGGGCGCGTGTACTGCTCAACAGTCCGCTCCGTCCTCCTTTATGGCTGTGAGACCTGGCCATTGAGAGCAGAAGACATGAAAAGATTAGCTGTCTTCGATCATAGGTGTCTTCGTTCTATCTCCCATGTGAAGTGGTATAATAAGGTGAGCAATATTGAGGTTAGGCGTCGAGTGCTAGGTAACGCGGGGAAATCAATAGACGAGACTGTGAAATTACATCGACTGAGATGGTTAGGACATGTGTTACGTATGCACTCCTAGTCATCGCCTTCCTCGACAACGGGCAATGTTAACCGATATAGGGCCAGGCTGGAAAAGAGCTAGCGGCGGTCAAACGAAAACATGGCACCAGTCAATGAAATCCACAACAGTTAGTCCAAGCCACGTAGGAAGGTGTAGACTTCCTGACTGGTTGGGGTCCTCGGGACGGTAAAACCAATGGTTGGAAACAATTGGTGACATGGCTCAAAATCGTTCTCAATGTCTGGCGCAGATGCATCCACTCCTTGTGACTTATGATTTCCAATGAAACTGTTTTGTTCTTCATTATTACTATTCCTTTGTCTCTCACCTCTGTTTACTGTCTATATTATGCATTTCTTCTACTTTCTTCTCTTTCTTTGTGTGCTACATGGAATGTGGCGACTTGAACTGCCGCACATATGTGCAAAGTTTTATGTCGAAAACCGACCGGCAGACCGCATTAAAAACAATTGAATTTTGTAGCTATCTAACCCCGTGCTTGTAAATTTCTTATTCAAATCATTTTCAATGAATAGTTTCGTTATATTCATTAGTTAACAAGGCGGGTGGGTGGGTGGGGAGGTTTCATTTCCTTCATCTGATTGACTAATAAAAAAGTTTGTTAAATGGTTAAAAAGGAAAAAAAATAATCAATATCCTTATTTTTCTTCCCTAGTCGAACACAAATACCTTTTGTTGGGTTTCATTTGCTATTTACGTTTTGACATAGTTCATGTACACAATTAATATTTGGACAGTTTTACGATAACTCGTAAATATAATGAAGCAGTAATTCGTATTGATTGGGTGTTTGAATAGTCATCTCAGAAGTGAAGATATCACTTTATCATTAAAAAAATGCATATCCCGTTTAGTTTGAAGAGAAAAGAACTGCTCCCAACTTTATACTTTTCACATTTAAGACTAACAGGATATAAAATGCTTAGGATAGAGATAAAACAAAAACTCAGATTTCTTACAGGATTTCATCATGAGCTGACATCGGTTAGAGAACCACTGGAAAACCCCACGGGAGTTTTTGGACAGCCAGCTGTTTTGTCAGCCTAGTTGGGGACTCTCCATCGGTACGCACCCACCGAGGTTCGAACCCCACAATTTGGAATTCATGGGCTGGCCATTGGATTGGGTCTCAGTGGCTTAATGATCTACGAGGTCGCTATCCTTGTAACCAGAAGGTCGTAGGTTCTAACCTTGGCGGTGGGTGCGTGCCGATGAAGAGTCCCAAATTAGGACGAAACAGCTGGCTGTCCAGTATTTCCATATGGTTTTAAGTGGTTCTCTAATCCATGTCAACTCATACTGAAATCCTGTAACAAATTAATCGAATCTCTACACACCAACACCCAGATTTGTCTTACCGCTTTCAAGTGTTATTTTATGATTTTCAAATAACCTCTAAGATTTTACTGATAATGTCTTGACCACTATATTTTTTGTTTTAAATCATAGTGCCCGATTTCAGGAAAATGAAAGAAGTGAATGTACTAAGAGTTTCGATGACTATTTTGGGATAATTCGTTGAAAATGTTCATACAGACAGTCTGTTATACTAGTTACTAGGATTATTGTTCACCGAAAATCTCTTCACATGAAGCTTCTAATATAAAAAAATAACACTTATTTTCTATTTCACCGACATTTATATTTTATCATCTTTATATCATACCATTTCAGTCCTTCACTGTTAAGTCATTGATGATAGGCGATGAATTTCACACTGTTTACATGACTATAACCGGTGTTTTCCTCGCTTTTAATATTCACACTTCGAGTTTTTGATTGGACACTAGTCAGTAACTAGTGTAATGTGTCTAGCCCTATCTTTAGTGCAGACTGACTAGTTTCCAATCGAAAATATCCAATACAATCCCACAGGAGATCGATCGCGAACGTGAGTCCCTTCAAGGTTGCAGATACGCCTTGCTTACTGGTGAGTGCCAGCTAGTACGAAACCTAAGTCCAAGGCTTTCTGCCGATTGCCTCCAACCATCCAATACCAATACCAAGCGTTCAAGTTTACTGGAAAAAACTCTAGGCATTTTTATTATTTACTATATTCTCATTGTTATAAATGATATCTCACTACAGATCATATCTCTTCTTTTTTGACTGAAAGCGGCCAACGCTTCACGATAAACAACGACGAAAATTCTTATTAGCCAGTGAAATCAATAAAGTCTTCATGAAATGAATTTATGTCAAAAGAAAGAACAGCTTTTATGAGAAATTAACCATTTTAGTGGAAAATTTCATCCCTCATCCCCACCCACCTCTTAATTATTTCTTTCCTCTTGAAGTAACAGCACTTCTACACAACAGTTAAACTGAAACATAAACTCCTACAATCAGTATGTAAAGAGTACTGAAGTCAGACCAGGCCAACTTGCCGTCTAAGCAAATTCATAGTTTCTAACACTCTTGACAAATGAATATACAATTTTTTTTATTTTAAAATACTTCAATTCAAACATTTTGCAAGTGAAATTCTAAGTACTTAAAGCCCTCACTTCGCTACAATAAGATGACATGACAGCATGCCATTTACAGGCAGTGCTCTTTCTATTTGCATAGAATTATATACTACTGATAGATTGGGATGAGTAGTTGTATATATCAATCATATCAACCGTTAGTTTTTGCTAACCAGGTCGGAGTGATCTAAACACCTGACGACCATTTCAGTCATTTGGGACCGAGATCATCAACGGTATACCCGGCTTGACTGAACTCAGATAGGCAAATCGGTTCACATCACCCAACTTCTGGCTGGCTACTTGAGGGGACTGTTGATAACATAAATTTTTACCTTATTTAGGATTTTCAAATTGATATTCATTAGTTGAGATGAGTAAAATATATTTAAAAAAAATTAAAACTTACCTTATCATTCATAGATTTTAATAGCATAGTTGCTTTCTTATTGATTTCTTCATCTTGATTACCAATTAATTCAGCAACTCGTAACCATGTCTGTGTAGAATGACAAGCAGCTAATTCAATACTTCGCATATCTAATCCAATAGTTTGTTTTTGATTCAATTGTGATAGGTGGACACCTGCATCTTCAAATAGTATATTTAATGAAAATATAGGCTGTAATGCTCTAGTGAAATAAGGCAAAGTTGATAGTGTACGAGAAGTATAAGCATTTTCCAGATTCCATTGAATATGTACTATAAAAAGGAAGGAAAAAAACAGTTTTAGAAATATTTCAATCATAAGTAAACATTATTATTATTTACTTAAAAATGGGGAAATATCAAAGCACATATAAAGTTTACTCTTTTGTATTTTACTACTATAAGTAGTATAATTGTTTATTCATAATTTGTGTTGAATGTGGAATATGATCGGTGAATTTTTTGTGGATCAAGTTTATAGTTAATGACACTCAATGTGCGTATGTATGGATGGATGTATAAGTAAGTAAGTCTGTTTCTAGTCAGTCACATGTTAAATAAGATACGGTGAACTGTAAAACTGTCATGAGATAAGATTTTTCTAAATTCATTATTATTTTCAAATGAAAAGATTCCATTTTATACTTAAATATTAGTATATGATAGATAAATATGAAAGAATATGCATGAATAATGAGTTATAATACACTTCATTCACTTGCAACTATATACGTAGATATCTTATTTATGTGGGTGGATATATTAGTTTTCACGAACTTTTAAAAAGTGAAACATTCCTTAGACGTAAAATAATACTTCTTCTATAGAAGAAATGCGTCCAATAACGTGATATGCATATAGTAATTGTTGTAGATTTATTTAGTAACTAGTACATACTCCTTACAAAAGTATTACGTTTCATAAGTGTGTTGCTTTACTAAAGGGATTATGAAGTTGAAATCAACACTTTGTAAAATGTGATCATTTGAAGTATTATATCACAGGGTATACATGTGTATATTAATAGACCTTCAACAACACTGAACAACAAGATCTCATTTACCAGTTGTTGTTTGTTTGTTTTTTCAAAAGATACTTAAAATACATTTATGATTATGCTGTTTTTGAGTATCAGATAAGTATTTCATCTGGTGGCGTTGGCGTTGGTGGTGATAGGAGGGGGGTGGTTATTAATCAACTATTCATAGCTTATGTGTATGAAATCGTCCTCACAGGCTTTTTTCCATATCTTAGAATTCAAAATGTTCCTATTTGTGTATACTCCGGATATGTTAGATCGTAATGTTTTGATACTAATAACTATGCTAACTTGAGTAAATTATTCGACACAGAGTGAACATTTGTATGCTATTCTGCTATCGATAAAACACGTAGACATTATAATTAACAAAAAAGAAATTAACTATTGTTTTTATAGAACCTATTTGATCATAGGTGTCTATACTCTATCTCCCGTGTTAATTGGTATAATAGGGTGAATAATATTAAGGTTAGGCATCGAGTGTTTGATAAGGAGGGGAAGTCAATCGATGAAGTTGTGACGCTTCATCGATTGAGATGGCTACCAGTCACCTTCTTCGACGAGCAATGTTAGATGGCCTAGGATCAGATTGGAAAACAGTTAGTGGTGGACAAACCAAAACATGGCCTCATCAGTGAATGAAATTCATAACAGTTCGTTTAAGCCAGCCGCGTCGAAAAGTGTAGACCACCTGTTTCTGGGTAATCGGGATTCTAATGAAGGCTGGAGACAATTTGTGAGACAATACGGCGCATATGCACTCAATCTTTGTCATCAGCTGTGTTCATCAAACCGTATTATTTTTCCATGTTATTATTCTCTCACTGGCCCATTTCTGCTTATTATTGTTCTTTTGAATTCCTTTTTTTCTCTCAGTTGTCTTCTTTTTTGTGTTACATGAAGTTTGACAACTAGAACTGACTGCTAAACTTCTGTGCAAAGTTCTTTGTTGAAACCAGTTAGTCATAGAAGTCATATATAGGCAGTTCAATAATACAGGAATTGTCAAACAATTTCAGAATACTATTTACCACTCCAAAAGTTATCTAATTAACATATTTAGATAGTTTTTTAAACTACATAAAACTATTCTCCGTCAATCTTATTTTTCTCTGGTTTGTTTTTTGAGTTCATTATATTTGAAATAGACAAAATATTTCTCACTATTTCTTTTCACATAGAAATTTCTATTATTAGCCAAATAAATGTGATCAGTCTTTGTCAGTAGAATTGTTTCATCATTAGATAGATGATTGAAGTTATATTCTGGTGTTATTCTATTTATTTTCAGTGGCAAACAGTAAAGGCCAAAAGTATCGTCTCATTCTGGTGAATATCACATTTGGATGATCGCATTTCCATTATGACCTCATGATCAGTATCTATGTAGAGTCTTATATACCAGTGCAGTGAGTAATGAAATAATCAGAATATCATAGTTGAAATTTAAGGCAGCACTGAGCACTTAGTATACTAAGAATAAGATCAACAATGTGAAGTATAAAGTATAACTAATTGAATTTTTAGATTTTCCCGTCGATTGATTGGACCGAAGTGCTCGGTCTCAGGTTGACATGTCGGCTTCTTGTACATATGCTTCGATAATGTCTGGGTATTTAGTTAGAGTGGCTCTCGAGAGCCACTCTCGTTGCCCAAGTGGTCTAGTGGATAACGCTTCGGCGTTTGAAACTGTGGGCACTGGGTTCGAGCCCCAGTGGGAACATCATCACTCACTGGGAAATGCAGGCACATCCAGCTAACGAGTTCTGAACAGTACGAAATGAGCATCCTGGATTCCACTGCTAGTCACATCCGCAAATTGAATTCTAACTGTAAAGTATAACTAAATTAGAAACAAACACTGATATTCAGGTATTGATTTGTAGGGATTTGATTGGTTACAGGACTTCATCATGAGCTGACATCGGTCAGAAAACCATTGGAAAACCTACAAGGAGTACCGTTGTTTCGTCCTAGTTTGGGGCTCTTCATCAATACGCACCCACCAATGGTTCGAACCTAGGACCCAGGTAGGTAATTACCTGGAAGCCGTGACCAGTAGGGTACAGTAATTTGAAGGTGATGACAGTTACTCATCGAAGAAGACATTGAGAAGTGGTTGCGCTATGTCATGAATTGGTAAAAGTTAGAATTCATGGGCTGACTGGACATTGGATCGGGTATCAGTGGCTCAGTGGTCTAAGAGCTCGCTGGCTTTGTAAGAGAAGGTCCTGGGCTCTAACCCTGGCGCTGGGTGCATACCGCTGAAGAGTCCCAAACTGGGCTGCGGAAACAGCTGTCCAGTGCTCCCTGCAGGTTTTCTAGTTGTTCCCTAAGCGATGTTGGTTCATGATGAAGTCCTGTAAACAATGATATCCATTACACTAGAACTGGTTTTCAGGGTTTCAAAAGTCCTAACGGATAACTATTTATCATTTGAAGATGAGCTGAAACATCACTCAGAAACACGATAACATGAATAAATATTCATCTGGTTGACTAATAGCCAAAAGCATCGAAAATTGTATTCACTGCTTAGTGAATAACACCAAAGTTTCCTTTGTCGCTAAAAAGTTCTTGTTATATAAAGGTAATTTCAATTTCTGACATATAATACCACTTGTTAGTAATTGTGCTCACCAATTTCAAAATGCAAATAAATAAGCATACTAATAACAGTTATAGTAATAATAAAGTGAACTAACATTGTCCAGCTAAATAAGAAAGTAATTGTATAAAATACACATTGAACTGTTTGTATTGTTCTCGATTATTTGAATCTAACAAACAATTTGATAAGGGTAAAGATTCCATTCTTTCAGAAAGTTTTAATCGTAGATTTAGATGAGTCAAAGGAACTGTAGATATATCTGAACCATTTACATCAAGATCGAGGACATCTTCAATAAATTGATCAATTACTAAAATAGGAGAAAATATACAGTCATTTAATGCTGGAGTAATTTAATAAAATAAAATAAAATAGGTATTTAGTATGAAATTCTTGATTTGAATGGTTTCCAGTTATTCCCATTAAATTTGTGGTATGTACTGGTTGGAGTTATGAACTCTGTTTTTGAAATTCTTCCTGGAATAAGGCTACAGCTTCGAGAAGAAAGTTTACTGAAAAATAAATGATAAAGTGGGACTGGCCTGCTAGCAGTGGTTTTTAAAAAAATTCCTCTACGTTCCAAGTGGAGCATAAAGCTTCAAGCTAGAGGTTTGAAGTTCCAGTAGCAGCGGTTTTGGCTTTATGGGGTGGGGTTGCTAGTCTCAACACACCCAACCTTCTGTCTTTACCGGGCTTAGCGAGGTTTAGGAGTCCTTTGGCGGGCCACATGAGGCGTGGTTGATAACCGTTCCATCTGTGATCCACCGACGCTCTCTAGCGATGCTTTTTGGGTGTATTGATAGCACATTGTTTTTGTGCGTTGGTGGCACAGTGGTTAGTACTCTCGCCGACCATACACATGGTCCGGGGTTCGATCCCCTGCCGATGCACACCCGATATCTATGGTCGGCCTGCGAAATTTGGGCTACCGATATCCATGCTGAAAATGCCATACTTGTACTGAAAATACGGTGTGGCATCAAGCTGTAATCAAAAATATAAAAAAAATAAAAAAGTTCCTCTTTTGTCTAATTGATAAAACTGTTGTCCACTCCGCGCAGTCTTGTTTAGACATATTTTGTAGGTATTTAGCATATTAGTGTTTGTTGTTACTTTTAAATCCATTCAGCTTATTTTATTACCTGAACACCAGGAAAAAAAGAGCATACGAAATTAGTTACAATTTTGTACTCTTTATCTTTTGTGCTTCTCTTGTTATCTATTCTGCTTACCTATATAGACGTTAATTTGGGTTGCACAACAAAACAAGTGAAGTCTCAATAAATCGTTTTCTATAAATTAAGGTCATCCATCACGTGGATAATCAGTTAGCCAAGGTATCTATCTGATTTATCAAAGTTCACTATTAACTAATTATTACTGTTATTATTATTACGTGTAATGTTACCAAACTGTGATCGAACATGTTAAAAAGAAGCATTCTGTTGAACTACAAAGTGATAAATCATTAGGTTTTTTTTTAAGAATGAGTATTTGAGTGTTTTTCAAAGTATAAGATATTGAAAGATATAGATTATAAGAAAATAAAAGACAGTTTAGAGAAGAAAAGAAAGCTAACATTGAAATGATAACTAAGGAGTTCAGCAACTGCCATCATGCCATCCAGTTCATGTCAGAATCAGAGATGAAATTGGAATTTCATTTTTTTTGGATGTTTTGCTAAAAAGGAGATATGATGGCTGTCTTTAGAGATCAATCTACAGGAAACCAACATGGAATGGTCAGTACATGGATTTCCATAGTTGGGTCCCTTTGAGAAGAAAAAGAAATCTGATCCTCTCTTTATCCTCAAGTATAAGAGGTGCATGCGCCAGTGATACGATCGATGGTGAACTGGAGAGATTCAGACAAGTCCCCATGGAAAATTGATATGCTTCAGGATTTATCGAGAAAAACATGAAAGTAAGGCAAAAGTCCGAGAGAATCCAAATGGTGCCGAAGAAATTGTTGTTTATGTACTCTGATAAACTACCGCTTTGGGTCACTTCAATGTGTGTTTATAAATTCACTTCCCCCTATGGAGTTAGTTAGATTGGCTGCACAAAGCGCACACTTCCCAGACGGATCTCTGAACATTATCCGGCATGGTTAGCAAAAGGACAGTGCAAGACAGTTACTAGCTCCATTCTAGAGCACTTGGTGAACTCCAACCACACCGCTCCACCAGAGTTGTTTTTTGAGATTTTCTACAAGGCGAAACCGAATGGTTTTGGTATATGTGTATGGCGGAGGCGTTGCCAATTCGTCAAAAAAACCCGGACTCTGTATACAGAAAAGTTTGTCCAGTCTTTTATTAAACCATGGTCTTCATCTCTTCAGTAGTCGTTCACTATAATTTTTTTAATAATTCTTTTGCTTTCATTCTTAGTAATTAATTCACTATTATCACTCTCAAATGTACCTTCTGTACACTTTCTCATCCTCTAAGCATTTGTTAAGTGGACACTCAGTTACCTTTCTTCTCACTCAATAATAATTTTAACCTTATCAAATTTCTAACCCATTCCTCCTTTTCGCCGCTGAGTATTACGTAATCTCTAAATTTTAATATTACTTTTGAAGCCACTTCTAAGTAATTATATCAATTATGATTCCTTTACGTTTCAAGTGGAACGTAGGGCTTTAAGATGTAAGCTTGGGATTTCAGTAGAAGTGGTGTTTATTTTTATGGGATAGGGTTGCTAGACTGATGCCTAACCTTCCCTCTTTACCAGTCTTATTACCGGCTTAGCGGGGTAAAGGAGTGCGTCAGCCGGGAATCAAACCCCGGATCATGCGAGGCGTGGTTGGCGAGGATTCTACCGCTGTGCCACCGACGCACATTTATATCACTTATGTCACACACACACCCTATTACTCAATAATGGACTACTATAGATTTCTTGGTAAATATAAATAAGATCATACAGCCTTCGTAGATGATTTCGCTGAATTTTATTTCATTTTCTTCATGATTCAATGGGATATAAATTATATTTTGACTATAAGTTTTTGTAGGAAATCGGATTAATTTCAGTGTAGATTTCTTCCCTACAAAACAACGCGTAATTCAAATGTCACTCTCCAGGTGACTGACAGCTACTGAATGGATGTCTTGAAGATGTACTGAGAAGTCGTGATCGATGGAGTCCACCATGTCTAGATGATGCGGATGCTCATCGAAGGCGCATTGGTTGAGGGTAGCGTTTACATAAAGAATTGACAGAAGTTGGAATTCATTGCTCATTGAATGGTCAAGAAGCTTGATCTCGTAACCTTAAGGCCCTGATTTCAGTACCTGGCGGAGTAGTGTGTGTGTGTGTTCACGTACTGCTGAAGAATCAAAAACTAAGGGGGAATAGGTGTCCAGTACTCTCTGGTTTTCAATTATCTTTAACTGGTGTTCCTTTATGATAAAATCTACACTGTGCATCGAATTCTGGCCCACAATGTCGGCATGGGTTCATACCCCACTTCCGACACACGCTTCAACTCACCTAATTCACTAGTTCTCAGGTCTTCTAGCGGATTTTAAGCCCAAGAAAAGTGGGGAGGGTTAGGCGTGCGGCTAGCCATCCTACTCCGAAAAATCAATCATACCTATGCTGTATGAAGGAATAAAATAATTCATAAAACTTGTGAAAACATCAATATGCATATGATTATTTTTCTTTTCTACCACTTACTTACCTTCTTTTCCCATATCTTTTGACCATCTAGGAACAACTTCTTTTTCAAAAAAATTTAATAATATTTCACGAAATGCTTCACGATCAAAAATAATCTGTGCTGATGAGATATCTTCAGACAGTGAGATATTATGACTACTACTCAATGGCCAGATTAATTTTGATAGGAAACATGTAAATCGTACAGTTGAATAAGGTTTACCATCACCAATAATCTTTAATAAAAATTCTGATTCAGCTGTATCTTGATCATTAATTATGCCTTGACAAAGATTTTCAATTTGATGGAAAAATTTTATCTAGAAACATTAAAAGATGAAATTGATTTAGTATTATTATTGTTGTTATCTTATGTTGAACTGTCAACAAAAATTCAAATATTATGCAAACATTTTTGTTTGTTTTAGGAAACTGAAATCATCTGTGTTCATTTGGTAAAAATATTTTAACTCTAAGAGAAGTTGAATTGTTTTTCAGCTAAATATTCAACAATATAAATCATCGTACAGTTCATCTATGCAGAATAGTCTTCTTTTCATACTTTTATTCCCCTTAATGAATTTGAACAAAGTAGTTTTAGCAGAATAAAATGGTACCACTTTTTATTTCATTGCCTTCTCGTCAGCTACTTACAGGGAAAAGACATTATTAAATATATCTACAAAAACAATTTAAACATACTTGCATAGAGTTCATTTTAAACAAAAATCAGTCGATCAGTATACGCATTCGGATGAAAGAGAGATGAAAAATATCCAGTTACCAAGGCAAAGAAAGACTGATAACTGCTCCTTTCTGAACGCATAAATCAGGTTTCAAGAGCTTGGTGGAGATGGCTTCAGCAAACTTAAGGAGAATTGAGCTCTTTTACTTATTGATAATTTTGAGCGATCTTTCGACGTCCCCCTTATGACCCGTGTCGAGGAGATGCCTGGCGATGGCAATGTTTAAAGCATTTGTTCTTTTTAGACATAAGCTTTTTGGTACATGTTCAGAAAATCGTAGATATGCCCTTCTTTCTGTCCTTCCAATGTAACTACTTCCGCAGATACATGTAAATTTGTATATACAGTTGGAGTTAACATGAGAAGGATATCTATCGATTTTTGATTGCACCAAAGAGCAAGTTGTTCGATAGACGGGAATCAGCTTAGCTGCAGGATAGGCTATGGCTAGTGATGTGCTCAGCCTTCTGTTGATCATCGCTGCAATGTTTTCACCTGTATAATCAAGCTGAAAGTAGACTGGCTTTTTTCCTACTGTGATTTGTTTTACATTTGTGACTTCAGATCTTCCATACTTGTTGATGAACCTTTGACGGTACCCATTGCTCTTCAATATCTTTTCAAGAAGCTCAAATTCTTCATCTAATTTCTCTATAGAGTATATTCTCCTCGATCTATAGTATAGAGTTTAGACTAGATCACGTTTAAAGCTATTTGGACAAAAGCTATTAAAATGTAAGTATTGTCCTTTCCATATGGGTTTTCGATAAATTGACTTTTGGAGACCACCGTCTTCTAGGCGTTCCATGGCGATGTCGAGGAAGTAGAACTTTCCGTCACTTTCATGTTCCATAGTGAACTCAATATTGCTATGTGCATCATTGAATAATCTTAGTAAGTGTGAAACATGACTTTCATTTTCGCACACTATAAATGTGTCATCAACATATCGACAGTAGGAAGTCTTCTTTTATTTCTAATCTAGTAGTCTCTTTCCATAGATTTAAATAGTTCATATAAGGAGTTAATTCATTATGTCTTTTCTGTTGATTGATTGAGTGAACTGAAGTACTCAGCCTCAGATTGAATTGTTGACTCCCTTGTGCAACTGCTACGACGATTTCTGATTACCTAACTTGAAGTAAACTGGTGGATGGGGACTAGCAGTGGAAACCAAGATATGCATTTCGTCCTATTTGAGACTCGTCACCTCTGTGTACCTGCAATCCCCAGTGAGTGATTATGTTCCCACTGAGGCTCGAACCCAGTACTCATCATTTCAAACGCCAAAGAGTTATCCAATAAATCAATTGGGCCAACGAGAGTTGCCTTTTGAGCAAAGGGTATTAGTCATAACCTAATTTGATTTAGCTTTCCCAAGTGGTCCAGCGGATAATGCTTTGGCTTTTGAAATTGTGATTACTGTGTTTTAGACTCAGTGGGAACACTGCCACTAACTGGGGATTGCAGGTACATCCAGATGGCGACTCCCAAATAGGATAAAATGTGCATCCTAGATTCCGCTGCTACTCAACATCTACCAATTTAGTTCATATAACTTTATAGAATTAGCAAGTGAGAGTAAATAAGGCATAAATTTGCAAAAATTTACCAAATCGAGTTTTCATACTTTAAAATAGTATGAATAAATAATAAAAAGAAGTGATGCGAAAACTGAAGGGTGTACTGTGAAGAGTCCAAAACTAGGACGAAACAGCTGTTCAATACTCCCTGGTTTCCAATAGTTCTTCAAAAAGATATCAGTCCGTGATTGGAATTGCAACAAATCAAATCCCTACAAACTAATTCATGAAAGTTAATCTGATGCTCGCTGGTGACTGACTACAAGATGAATTTACCTGGAGTTCCGATGAGAAGTCCTGACGAGTGGGGTCTACCAGAATGGAAGTGAAGACATATGCTTGCTTATGACATTGGCTGGTGACGTCACTAAAATAATGAGTCGGGTCCCAGTGACTGAATGGTCTACGAGCTAAACTTGTAATCGATAGATCTTTGGTTCGAACCTTGGTGATTGCGTACTGTTGACGAGTCCAGAACTAGAACGAAACAGCTGTCCAGTACTCTCTGGTTACCAATGATGCTACAAAATGACGTCACTCTGTGGCTAAACTTGAAATATGAAACTTGGAATGATTTGTAGCCAATTGATCGATTTAGGGGTTATTTTTATCTACTCTTAAGCTTACAAATCTAGAAACATATCGAAACACTAGTGCCATTCTCTCTAGGGGCTAGCATTCATAACTGTGGTTATTCATTTCGATAAGGGGATCACTTTATTCTATTTTTTATTCTACTAAGTGTCTTCAGATAGTATAGTCTTTAGCTGAATGTAAACAACGGGTTCGCATCCATCTTTTGTTGTTTCATGGTTCATACTTTATCCCAGAACTTGATCATTCATTGCTTGATTGACACATTTACAATATTCATGCGTTGGTTTTTTTATGGATTTTTGTTTGAAGAGTCCCAAACTAGGACGAAACAGCTGTCCAGTATTCCTTGCAGGTTTTTCAATGGTTCTCTAACTGATGTCAACTTATGATGAGATCCTCCAATATTTACCATACACTGAGCATACGTGCGGTAAAATTTAATCAGATTGTTATTCTGTTTTTTATTAAAAAAATCTGGGAAGTTTAATTATTTTTCAAACTTGATAGATATTTGATTCATGCTCACCATTACGTATAAACATTATTATTTAATGATAAGGTAAACTCAGTATAATGAAGTCAGCCCAAAAAACACGAGTTTTTTCAAGTAATATTAATTATTCAAATGAACTGTCGTCAAGATTTGACAGAATAGTTCTAAAATATTTGGGCGCCGAGTGAGAAGTAGACATTTGTAAAAAATTATATTTGTAAAGTCTCAGTGAGATTGAAATGAGTAATTCCAACTTTTTGTTCGGCAATCTGGTCCAAACTTCTTCAGGGAAATTAATCGAAATTGACATAACGGAGGTTTATATATAAAAGGAACATCACTTGTTTTTAAAACTTTGTCCAATCATGAGTCATTCAACAAGTATAATAAACAAAATTTTATGAGCTGTGATCAAAATTTAACCTCGGACTTACAAATATTGGTCTACCTCTGTTAAACACTTTAAACAGAGTGTGTATGTGTGTGTGGGTAAACAGTTGTAAAACATTTCTTAACGTCTCCATAAGGAGATATGGACAGTCGAGAATTTTGACCAAGTATTATTAATTAGTTATACATATCCATTTTTATTTATTAATCAGGATTTCATATGCATCAGCTAAGATCACGCCTTCATGTCTGTTCAAACTGTTAGTATCTAGAATTTTATGATCAGACGTATTTTCAAAATTATGGTGTTCAGGATTAGTTTTTACTAGAAGCACCCTGTCGGACTTATTGCTTTGTCTTCTTTCTGAAGATTGAGCTGCTTTATTCGACCTACTGGAGTTGTCAGGTGACTCGACAGCTACGGATTTAGGATGTGCATTCTGTTGCAGCCAACGAAGAGTGGGTGTTATGTTAATTTCGATTAATTTCCCTGAAGACGTTCGGACCAGAGTGCCGAACGAAACGTTGGAATTACTCATTTCACTCTCGCTGAGATTTTACAAATATAATTTTTAAAAAATACTAATTATTTATTATGAATAGCCAAGCAAGAATGAGAGACAGAGAGAGAGGGCAACAGTCAATGAGTTTAGGAAAATTTTAACAGCTTTTTAGAAGTTGTAAGGAAGTGATGGTATACTCGATAAAGACTCATCTTGACATTTATTAATTGTGAAATAAATGGGAAATACCTTTGCAAGTTTTGGTTCGCAGGGATTCTATCAATTTCAAGGTTAATCGAGGACTGATATTAGTTACAGACTTACTGGAAATCACAGAGAATTAGAAACCTGTTTGAGACTCTGCTGAAGTTTTTTTTATTCCTTTACATTCCCAGTAGAATATAGGGTTTCAAGCTAGAGGCTTGAAGTTTCGGTGGCAGTGGTGTTTATTTTCACAGGATGGGGTTGCTAGCCTCATGTCCAGTCTTCCCTCTTTACCAGTCTTATTGATGGCTTTGCGAGGTGTGGGAGTGCGTCAGCCATGAATCTAACCCCGAACCACCTGTGTGGTTGGCGAGGATTCTACCGCTGTGCCACCGACGCTCTGCAGCAGTACGCAGCTATTATGACACCAGTAATCGAACCTAGGACCTTCAAGTTACAAGGAGAGGTTGTATACCATTTAAGCCACTGGAATGGAATCCAGTGGTTCATAAAGTCTAAACTCCTTCCATCTTCCGATACATAACCACGGCGACCAGCCAGTGTTATCATCAATTATTTGTCTTCATACTTCACTCAACTTGGTGAAGTTAGTTTGTGAACAACTTTGAAGTGTCTTTTCACCTCAATATGTATAATGGAGGTCAAATATACTAATAGTAGAGGTCTTAAGACAATGTAACCACTCCACTATATTATAAATTATTTAAATTAATCCCAGCATGTTAAGAAAATCAAAACAAGATTTTTCTGAACGTTTCGCTGTGTAAGCCACAGCTTCTTCAG